TTTACATCAACCATGGGTCGATCCTGAGGATTCGGAGACCCTCCTAGACCACATACAGCCTCTTTAAAGTGGGTTTCTTTAATTTTAGGGAAAATGTACGGGTTCAGAGTGATCATGACGAAATCATACTGATATTCAGCTCGACCGCCTACAATTTGTACGTCCTTACAAATTACTGGATTTAAGACCCTTCAATGGTTGAAGTCATAGGCGGATCTACGGGGGAGGCGGAAGCTTTCGGACTGAAGCCCCCCAAAATTGTAAAATATAACCATGTTTTATAGAAAAAAAATATTAAAAGCTATCTCTCAAAGTATTATTGTTCGTGTAATTAAATTTAATAGAACTTCAAGAATTACTTAAACACTCATATAGGTAGTTAATTTTTTTTTTCAAATTAATTATCGTTATATAAATGTATGGAAAAAATTCGGGCTGACGCCCCCCCCTAATTAAATCCTGGATCCGCTAATGGTTGAAGTGGCACAGTTATTATTTTTCCATTAAGGGCCAGTTGTACAATTTAAGTTCAAGTTAGAACAAAGAGCTCAAACTTGAAAAAGAGAACAAAAAGCTCAACATTTTTCATAATAGAAAACAGTAGTAAGTTTTTCAAACTACAAACATAGAATTTACAAGATTTAACTTAAAAACTTAGTTATTTCACCATTTCATATGACTCAAATTGATATGGATTTTCAAAAGTTTTCTCAGCAGTCATGGAATAGGATTCTAACAATGACTACGATTGTGAAAAACAAAAATGATTAGAAACAATTTTCGGATGTTTTTAAATATTTTTTATTTTTATTTAGAAATATTTGATATGCTGTTTTTTAAACTTAATGCGATTTATTCAACAAGTTTTAATTGGGTGATTTTATTCAGTTTTAAATAAAATTATAAACATAGTGAAGTTTTTCTGTATATAAATATTTTCTTATGTATCCTGTAAAATTGATGAGGAATAACTATATATGTTGTTTAGAGGTTGGTCTAGAGATAAAGTAAAAAAAAAAAAAAAAAAAAAAAAAAAAAAAAAAAAAAAAAAAAAAAAAAAAAAAAAAAAAAAAAAAAAAAAAAAAAAAAAAAAAAAAAAAAAAAAAAAAAAAAAAAAATGAAAAGTCTCTATATTCATATTTTTAGAAAATCTTGGGTAAGGGATAATTAAGATGATTTGGTTCGATTTTCCATTTGTGAAGTATTTAAATATTTATTTCTTAGCTAATAATTGTCTGATTCCAATGGTTTTTTTTTTAAATTTTGAAGTAAATTTGAAGTAAAAACCTTTCAAATTGTCAAAGTCTTAACCAATCATAAGTTGCATACTTCTAGAGTTATGCACACTTTTTTGGAGAATGTGAATCTTTTTCGTTATCAAAGGAAAAGATTTTCGACGAAATGATTTCACAATCATTGGGTATGATGAAGGATTACCGAAGATATGATACACCGATAAAACAAAAAATCCTTTTAGAAATAATACAATAATTTATTATAGGACTAAAATAGATTTATCATACATTTCCTTCCGACCGCGAACAGCAGCAGTATTACGAACAGATATGGCAGTTGATAGCGGTTATCTACTTCTGCTTGGGCCAACCGACAAAAGGAGAAATGAGAAGAGGAGAGTAAATAGGACATTAATGAATAAACCAGTATACGAGCTGTGCACACGTCATCACAAACTAAAGGGTATTATAATTAACTTCAGAACAATGGTGTGCTTCGTTTTGGCCGCAACGGTGAGCACATCGCAGCAGTATATGAATAAATAAAAACGTTTCTGCCAAGTATAGCTCTCTCAGAATTTTTATTGGGTCTATAATAAAATAAGCATTTTGCTAGTTTATTGCAAAAAAGTCACTAACGTTGAGGTTAGGGACGTGGGGTCGCCGATTTCAATGAAACTTTTTTTGGTGATACTAGGTCGAAAAATATTTGACCCATGTCCGAGGGTTCTTGCCAATGCGCCCTAGGAGCCGAGAAAAAATATTTTATAAATTTATTTCCTTTTTTTTATTACTGTTCTAATCTCGCTCTGCATGCAGGACGCATTGGCGACCCCAAGTTCCTAACCTCCCCATGTAAGTACATTTTTGATGAAACAGAATTTTTAAGGAATTTCGATCATATTTATTGATAAAAATTAGAGGATTAAAATTACACAAACCTTTTTATATATCAAAAACGCTTTTTGCCTAATTATTAACAACCGCCTGAAACATCGTAAATAGCTTCATCTCATCGTAACCTAGAAATATTTGATTTACGAAAATTGTCTGAATTGGGAACGTTTTCAATCTGGAGATCGGAAAACTTTGTCTATTTAATTAGGAACTAAAAACTCGTCAATATCAATTTGTTTTCCGCTTGAACCGTAAGATAATTTGAGCAAAAAATCGAGTAAAAAGGTGGCCTACAAAAATATAGAGCCGTTTGGTGTCACCTACACTCTCAAAATTTCAAAATAGTGAGATATATAGACCAAACGGCCTAATATTTTTGTTGGTCGCCTTTTTTTCTCGATTTTGTGATCAAATTATCTGACGATCCAAGTAGAAGTAATATGGGTATTTACTAATTTTCAGTACCTAATTAAATAAACAAAGTTTGCCGAGCACCAGATTGAAAACGCCTCAATTCCAAGATTTTTCGTAAATAAATTAGTTGTAGGTTACGAAGAGATGAAGTTATTCATCAAGATGTTAATAATCTGATAAAAAAGGGGTCTGTACCACGAACTACAACTACTTGACTGTATATAACGAAAAATCGATAAATCATATCCAAAATATCTCTAATGGCGTCTAGCCAAAACCTACAAAAAATCCAATGTTGTGGTCACATTAATTTTGAATTTTTTCTCAAAGTGCCTATTACATATAAATCGATACTTTTACCTTATCTTCTTTTAAGTGGTTTGAAACATGGCACAGACTGTCTGACAATTGTACTTAACCTGACCATGAATGTTTCTTGCTTTCTCGAAATTTCGAAAATGGTGTAAAATCGAAATGGCATGCCACTTCGGGTTTGTCATGCCATTCGTCTTAGAGCCTTGAGTTGGTGCAGTAATGCGATGTGGGGGAGGGGAGCTATTGCATCTAGCGTTGTTACGCCACCGCCATCTCCCTTTCTATGCTAGCCTCTCACGACCCTCCGTAGAGTGCATTGTATAACCGAGTACTTGGGAACTGCCTCTTCCCGATCTATCTAGGGGTGAGGGTAACCGATGCATCCGTGAACTGGGGAATACATGACTACCGAGCAGAGGGAAGATCTTAAATCTACGGTTGGGAAACTATGTAATAGTGAAATCGCTAAAACGTGATTGCTAAATTCGATATACAGGAGCACAGTGAGAAATCCTTTACTATAAAATGTGCACGTTGCGCAGGTATTAAGAAACACGTCAAAACAAGCTATTTTTTAAATAAAAAAGCTTGAGTTGCTAAGCTTAGTCAATAATGTCGCATTTTTGTTTGAAAAACTGACGAAAAATAATTTATAATGGTGTGGAGATGGCTGATCGTGATTATAATTTAAGGAGTTGGTCGGGAGGGAGGCGGGGGTATGATTAATATACAATACTAAATATTGTAATAATTTGAATTTGCCGCCGTTAGACTAGTACAGGTTACCATATAAAGGTAAATATATATATATATATATATATATATATATATATATATATATATATATATATATATATATATATATATAGAGAGAGAGAGAGAGAGAGAGAGACAAATAATAAAATAATGATAATAAATTCATCATTTATTTATTTGCTTATCTTGTATCAATTAATATTTATAATTTGCATCTTTTTTACCCCTGTCGAAAACCTAAAACCTAGGTCGAAACTTCCTTAAATCATACAATACAATACTGTTATAATATCTTATATAGTATATAAGAGTATTTGAAAGATTGCTAAACTCCCTACAAAACATTTTAAAAAATCATCGAAATCGAACAATTTGGTGCAGGAGTTATTACTTTCAGAACATTCATTATTTGTTCAACTCAGTGTTGCCCAAAATAGGTCTTGTTCTTGTACTTTCCAAGACCAAGACCAAGACTGATTAAAAAAATCGATTTTTATATAAAAATGAAGGCAAGATTGTTAATAATAATTGACAACTTCAGTTAATATACGTAAAGATTTGGTAGAACCAATATACTTTTGCATTTAACTCTTCTAATTTTTCATTTGGGCTTAGTTAGGTTTCTTTTATCTAAAAAATTGCAGTATTATCTCTACAGTAATAAGCTAATAGGTAACTGAAAGACTGTTGCGAGACTCTTGCGCAAGACCAAGACCTAGAAGTCCTATATTGGGTGCGTAAGACCAAGACGAGTTTTGCGACATTTGGGGAATACTAGTTAAACTGCAATGATTCTGTTGCATTTGGTGAAGTTATTTATTTCTGAATCAATAAATAAAAAAATAACATAAAAACATTCTAGAACTCCTTACTCTACCTTCTTCTGTTCTATCTTTTAATACCAGATCTCAACCTTTTGATCCATATCTCCCCTCCAATAAAACTACTTTCTTCTGCAAATCCTTCGCCATTTGTACTACGTACTTTTGTAACTCTTTATCGTCCTCCACAAATTCTTTCAAACAACTCCTATTCTGCCACCTATTCGATATTCAAACTTATGTACAGTGTATCCTTTTTTTTTATACTGTATAATTTAATTAACTATGCAATTTAAATTGCAATAAACAGTAAATGAAGGATAATTTTTTATCTTCTAAAGCGAGACTAATTCATAATTATGGTACTCTGTCATTATTTTCAAGGGACTGAAGTTCCGGATTAAATTTATTTTATTTTATTCCATGCTCGATTTACTAATTAATATTTTTATCGTGTTTGCCAGATGCACGTCCTCTAAACTTCGCATTCTTCATCTTATCTTTTTTCGTGGCTCAAATAGTCGCCCGTTCAAGTTTTTTTTTTTTTTCCTTTTTTAAATAGGTCATCATTGGGAGGAATGCTCGCAGTTCCAAAAATCTAGATAAGAAGGAATGGAAAGGTATGTTAGGGGGTTTCCAAAAATACGAATGTATGTTAAGATGGTGGACTGGAAGGCAGCTTAGCTGGAAGAGCGACTGCAGGTTTTTTACTCAGAGGGGCTCCTTGGCCATTGGGTCAGGCGAGGTCAGCCCGGGATGGTAAGGCCGCTTTCGGAGGAATGTGCCCGCGGTCTGCCTCTTTGTTCAACTTTTCTGTCAATTTCGCTTAGATTTTGCTCGATTTTTCGTAACAGAACATCGCATAATACCGAAAATGTTGAGAAAAACAAATTTGGAAGTTATCTATCCGTAATAAATTGACAACACCAAAGAAAAAAAATGCCTCAATATCAAATAGATTCATATTCATATTCGAAATAAATTTAAGGTTTTTTTTTTTTATTTCTTAATGATGTTTACAACTGTATTAAATAAATACATCTAGTAAATTTGAACATATGGATATAGAGACATGAAAACTCTTGCTGAGTAACAACCCAATGGTAGCATTCTAATGATACGTTTACTTTAGGAGATCACGGGGCCATCTTCTTTTCAGACGCCTCGGAGAGTTATCAGGAATTAAAGAGGAAGCAAGGTTAGAAACGAAAGGGTTGGGATGATTCTGAAGTTTATTATGGAAGGATAGGTATCTGGATTGGGTCAGATCTGAAACATTAAGGTCATTACGGATGGTTTTATTTGTAATAGCGTAGGGAGCATTGAGGATTTTAAGAAGGATTTTGGATTGTAAGGATTGGATACGAGAGGAATTCGATGGTTTAGTGGAGCCCCATAGCTCAACTCCGTAAGTCCAAATAGGCCTTATTATAGTCATGCATATGAGTCTTTTGTAATTAATTGGATGTTTTGAATGTTTGTATAGTAAGTGCTGAAGTAATCGGAAACGTCGAGCGGTTTCTGGTCATTTTAGTTTAGTATGAGGATTCCAAGTTAGTCGTTTGTCCAGGTGGAGTCCTAGGTAGCGGATTTGCTCAACAGGGATACGTGGAGTATGTTTAAGGTTAAAAACTAAAATTACTCACGAGGATGACAAATATTTATTTTCTTGGATGTTTCGACCACTGTGGTCATTTACATTATCTGTAGTCTCATGCGGTTAATTATATATTATTTTATATGCTGATAGATTTTAAAAATCGATTAAGTCTAGAAACAGTTTCTGGGTCCTGTCTCAATATTTTGTCTGGATCTGTAGAAAATTTGTAAGAGTCATGAGCCATACAAAGGGTTAACCATTACCTTCCCCCCTCCCCAAGGCCGATGGGCCAAGAACCTACACCCTCCCCTTCCTTCAAAGATATTTTATTGCTCACCTTACCTTAAAAACAGAGCAAGCTAAGGTAGAATGAGAAAAATCGTAGATCAAAAACAATTACACTTTCTACGGTATGTTTCATGTTTTTTTTTTGTTTTCTTTTGGGGGTCCTCCCCTTCCTGGCCGTTAAAGGCTATACGGGGTTTTCCCGGGCCAGGGAGTGTGAGCGAATTTTTAAAAGACTCCCTTGGCACCGGGACGCGAACTCATGTCTATTTTTATATCATTTGATAGATATATCTCGCGTTAGCCCATTCGGCCACCCCGCCCACTGTATGTTCCATGTTTTCTGCTTGCCTCTTAGTCCGAAAATTCATAACCCCGTCAAAATATGCCCCCCTCAAAAATTTTGATGGCACAACTTGCGAAGCAGGTTCTTTTCGCCACCTCTGGCTATATACTCAGTAAGTACCTGAAGTACTGTTAGATTACTGGCACAGTAGGAACATATTTTGGAGGTTCTTCTTACATTAGATATCCATGAGATTAGTTCTTCTTACATAAGATATCCATGAGTATGTCGACTAAGGCGGATAAGAACCACCTCTTCTCTCCGTATCAACTTTAGATTTTCGTTAAGATGATTTGAGTATGCATTTATCATTTTTAGTTTATTGTCTCTCGTGTTGAACCAGTATTTCTCTTCTGCCTAGGGATGGCCATAAATAATAAATATTATAGAAATATCGATATTTTCTTTGCAATATTAAATATTTTACCGTATCTACTTCGATATTATCGACTATCCATAACATCTGTTCGATATTTTAATATTTTAATTGTGGGTTGATGGTTGATTGTAGTGAATAATTGAAGAGAATAATTGGGTCGGGTTTGATCAGTCAAAATAAAAATATGAAAAATAAATATAAATAAATAATTATGTTTAGTTTTACTATTTTTATTTTGACTGATCACCCCAACCATTCTTCTCTTCAAATCTTTTAATATCTTAATTTTTTTTTAAATTAAAACTCGTTTTCAGAAAATTCTAGGAATTACATATGCATCTGATCCTTAGAAAAAATAATATATTCATCTTGCCTGTTTCATATTGAATGTTAATACAACCTACAATAAGGCCTATGTGGACTTACGGAGTTGAGCTATGGGACTCCATTAAACCATCGAATTCCTCTCGTATACAATCCTTACAATCCAAAATCCTTCGTAAAATCCTCAATGTTCACTACTTTTTTACAAATAAAACCATCCATAATGACCTTAATGTTTCTTATGTTTCAGATCTGGCCCAATCCAGATACCTATCCTTCTATAATAAACTTCAGAATCATCCCAACCCTGTAGTTTCTAATCTTGCTTCCTCTTTAATTCCCGATAAACCTCCGAGGCGTCTGAAAAGAAGGTCCCGTGATCTCCTAATGTAGACATATTACTGTTATCACGTCATTATATCCATATGTTGTAATTTACTAAATGTATTTATTTTATACAGTTGTAAATATCATTAAAAAATAAAAAAAGAAAAGAAAAAAATTCTTATTTATCCTTTTTTTTTGTTCATAATTTATACAGTTGTAAATTTTAATAAATGAATAATAAAAAAATATTCATCTGATGAATTGAAATATATGAAGAATATGTTAACAAGTTGAAACAAATCATCGTAATTTTCAAGGTAGCAAAATGGTTTAGCTTTGAAAGAAGCCTGACATTGCAGATTAAAAGAACCGAGGGGGTTGAGATTTTTCATAAAACCCACTCCATAATAATCCTCTTTTATTCCAAGTTGAAAAGGAATAAAAAAAAGACACTAATTCCAAGGATGGAAATAACTTTTTACTCCGAGGAGAACTTGGGATTAGCAATGGTTGAGGTTCGCAAGGGTTCTAAATTGGATCCCGGTTTGACGCAGCAGCGATTCGTCAAATTGAAGTTACCAACAAACCTCGGTTCCAACTTCAACTGCGGCTTACCAACTCCGCTAATTGTGGAGATTTGTAACTCCAGGCAGGAAAAAAAAGAAGTCTGATGTCATTAAGGCAAGTGAATAAGGACGAAAAGAGTAATGAAAGGATGTAAAGAAGAAAAACAAATATAAACATACTCGACTCTCTCATATGCAAGTTGTAATTACCATGAATAAATATAAAGGATGTATTATTTTAAGTAGAGCGATGCAGGCGAACAAAACATTGTATAAAACAGCACTTGAAATCTATAATTATTTTTTCCACAAAATCATGAAATAATTATTCTATATATTATTTCTAAAAGGTGTTTTTTTTTTGCCGGTACGCCATAACTTCGTCAATTCTTCATCAAATCCAATGATTGAAGACTCATTTTGAAGATATTCTTATCCTTCACAGGCGAAAAATAGTCCTATTCCCCCGAAATTTCTGGGAAAAAATTATGGAGGAAAAGAATCTTTATTTGCGAATAACTCAAAAAGTATGCATTTTTCTTTCATTGATTGTACCCATAATAATTAGAAAAATCACTAAATTACCTACAAAACAAAAAAAATATCGTAAAAATCGGACAATTATTAACAAAGATACAGTCCATTAGTTTTGGTATACTTAATAATGTCTTCCGATTTAGAGATATTGCATTTAGGAATAGAATAGTCTACTACATTTTTTTCGCTGGCTGATATATTAACTTTATTATTTCTTAAAGACATTTGGTTGTTCTTACATTTTTTTTGTTTTAATAGTTTAGTATATGTACCTCCGAAGCGAGTATTCTATAGTATGTATGTGTTTTAGTTGTTATTTTGATTAGATTAGTTATTTTGTTTATATCCATTTATTTTTATTATTATTAGTTTCTGTATTATTTATTGTAAATAGAGTGTGAGTGTTCTCTCTGAACATTATTATAAATGTCCATGATTGTGAGAGAATGTAATATTTCTAAATAAACAAATATATAATAGTTTAGAATATAATATGATCGGGGCATTATTTTGTCTATATTACTTTTATTATCTTTCCAATTAGCGTTTAAAAATAGGTCCTAGCAAAGCAATTCGTACAGATATTTTTTTGTATTTTATTTAATGGAATATTGTAATCGACTAAGGAAAAAATATTAATTCCTTCCTTACATAATACATAGGAACTACTTATTTCCATATTGTTTTGCTATTTTTCATTTAATACAATTATATATTATATTTGATTTTTAATTTAAAAATCATGCCTGATTTATAAATAAAATTTTAAATCGTTGTTAGATTTTTATTTATTCCATTAAAAATAATGATCACTCAGTACGGTTTTGCATAAATAATAATGATTAAATTGCGATAAAAAAAATTTTAGATCAGAAAATAAAAATTACCTTTTACACACAAATTGAAGATATGGATTAAAATATCTCAGAAACTAAAAATTGGAACTGCATACTGTAAGCGAAGAAATTTTTCAGCATTACATCCTCTATATAATGAGCTATTATTTATAATTTATATTTCATATTATTAATCTCGTCGTGTTAGTGTTTTCACTTCGTGTGTTCTAAGACACACACCTTAGTTTTTTTTTTATTGTACATGGAGTGCGAAAGACCTACTCTATCGTTATTACTAATGTTCTTAAATGTGGCACAATGTAATATTACTCAATAAAGAAATGCATCTGTGAAAAAAAAACAACAATTACGTTTTCTAGTCCCATCCTTCGGGTTTGGTGCCATTTTCTCATAATTTAACATATGTCTATTATAGGCTATATGTTCAGAATGAGAAAAATAAGAATATTAACGCAGACCCCAACCCCAAAAAAAACTTTTCGGTCACTTATATTAGAGGTTTAACTGATAAAATTGAAAAAACTTAAAAAAAAATACGATATAAATGAAATCAGATTTGGGAAAAAACCTATTAATAAATTAGATAAATTATATAGTAGAACTAAGGATATTATTCCAAAAGAAAAACTAACTAATATTGTTTATAAAATACGATGCGAGGATTGTGAAAATAAAGCATATTACGGACAAACCTCACAATGGTTTGCACGTAGGATACAGCAACATAGACAAAATTGCAGGTCTAAAACGACAAAATCAAAATTAGCCACAGGATTATCGCTGCATACCACAAAAAATGGACATAATTTTGATTTCGGTACTGCTTCCATGTTGCATAGAGAACAACATATTGGGAAACGTAGAATCATTGAATCTATTTTTATCACTAAAAATCTAAAATATTCAGTGAATCAACAGACAGATGTTGATAATTTAAACACGTTTTATGCTAGCACAATTGACAAAATTAATATATAACATACTGATATAAAACAGCTGATCACTAACCCCTCCACCCCACTCCTTACGTAAGTAAATCCAGTCCTGTATAAATGCCCTATTGAAGAACAATACTTTCTTGATACCGTCTGCAAATAGAGGTATATAAATCGAAAATTAAAAATTTTAAATTAATTATAGCAGTCTATTTTTAATTTATAATTATATATTATAATTTTTAGAAACGGAAAACGACATTCTTTGAAATAACAGAATGAATTGGGACGAGTCATATCGTAGTGACAAATTTTAAAAATTTTATGGCGCGGTGCATGGTAGGTGAATGATACAAGTTTATTGTCTGAAGCTATACTTGAATGGTAAAAAGTAAATTAAAATTTAGTTTGCAGGTTCTTGAAAATCGCTCCTGAAGCCGAAACGTTGAATAAACATACATGTAATATATAAAAAAACTGTGTTTTTCTGGTGACCTATGGCCTATAATAGACATATGTTAAATTACAACAATTACAGTTTCATGGTTTTTGTTTTATTTTTATCTAAATCATATTCTCCGGTGGAACAACGGTGTAATTGCAAATCATACAATTTTTTTATCCATTCAAATTTTGCTTGTATTATACTTATAGTCTAAAGCACACACACCTTAGTTTTTTTTTTTTTTTTTAAATTACCTTTAACGTTTATCATAAATATATTCAAAAAAGATTGTATACAGTAAAGATAATTTGAATAAAGCTGTTATAAATTCTCCGAGGATGATCTATTCTGTTACTTCGTTGATCTATTCAATCCTAGCGGTTCGCACTCTCAAGAACGTTTTACATTCAATTGTGGGAACTCCCTGAGCGATAAAGTTCATTGTTCACTTAGGAGAGTAGTTTACTCTTTATTCAGTACAATGATCTGGGTTTTCTTTTTCTTTATTTTTTTTTTAACCCACACGTTTCTAAAGTACTGTACTGACAAGAAATGCGTTTAAATAAGGTTTAGAGCTCAGTAGTTTCAATTAATAAAATTTATTTATTCATAGTGCCAATTTTTCACCAACTATCAGGGTAATCTGTACATTTTTCTTTTTATTTATTATTATTTATGAAATTTACAACTGTTCAAATTAATATACATTCAGCGAATGTGATACAAAGAAAAATATGACAAGGCTTGTAGAGAATCTACCCATTGGTAGCACTCTAATAAAGTATTTAAGTTTAAGGAGATCACGAGACCATTTTCTTTTCAGACGCCTAGGAGGGTTAAGGTACTATTTCGCTGAAACTGCTCACTGGGGTGGTTATAACCTGCCTATAACCTTCGAACATTTCGCTGTATCTTCGAAGATAAAAAGATAGACATAATATAATAATAAAAATGAACATCCTATAATAATGAACATCTCTGACTACCGCTTTTTTATTTGAGTTGGAAAAAGAAGAGAAAATGTTCATTAAGAGAAGGAATATCAGTATTTCGATGTGATGCTCATCATCAAAGTCCCTCTGATATTAGATATTATATAGATAGATATAGTTTGGAAAGTAATAGTAATTAATACATAATTGATTAGTAATAATTACATATATTTGTAATTAAATCCCAGCAGGCGATGTTTTATAGTTTTATCAATAGTAATCAGTAAATCACCACTTTAATTAAAAAATACAAATCGATTTTTCAATGGGTGGATTTTAGTATTTGCCTGATGATAAAATATGTTGGATTCTTTAATTCATTTAATATCGTTTGTATTTAGGTATATTTGTATTTCGCTGTAAAATACTGCTGGTGGAATAAATAAATAAATAATCTTGTTTCTTCAACCTTAAAAAAATAATTTACTATTGCATTGTTTCATTTTTAAACAATATTTGTTATAATTTTGCCAGACTTGAAAGACACATACGAAATAAAAGGTATCGACGTGACTGTTATCATCAAAACAATGCTCTGATATGATAACATAACCTACAACCGCCGAACCGCCAACAGCTCCACTGCTTCAAGAGGAGTCAGATCCGAGCAGCTTAGATATGACGTCATACGTAGACTGCCGAGCAGCGCCAGCGAAATAGGTTCCTTTCTATTCAACTAAAGCAGTGGTCAACCGCGGGCAGTCGCGGTAGTGGACCGCGCCAGCGAAATAGTACCTTTATCGATCGAGGAGGAAGGTTAGAAACGAGAGGGTTCGGATGGTTCAAAAGTTTATTATGTAAGGATAGATATCTCGATTGAGCTAAATCGGAAAAATTTGGGTACATTAAGGTCGTTATGGATGATTTTATTTGTGACAAAGAAGGGATCATTGATGATTTTACGAAGGATTTTGGATTGTAGGGATTGGATACGAGAGGAATTCGATGGTTTAGTAGAGCACCAAAACTCGATCCCGTAAGTCCAAATAGGTCTTATTATAGTAATATATATGAGTCTTTTGTAAATAGTTGGAAGTTTAGAAGTCAAAAACATCGGGCGGTTTCTAGTCGTTTTAGTCTGGTATGGGGGTTCCACATGACAAATATAATTTTTAAAAAAGTATGTAACATCATGTACTGCGAATTATTAAAATTAATGATGATTGAAATGTGTTATATTATAGAGTAAAATAAATAAATCTGTAAAATACTCATGGACGAATAAATCTTATATATATCCCTTTTCCGGCTCTGAGGAGTGATGGATTTTGACGAATGAGGTATCAATAGAAAGGGAATATCACGTAGAGTGCGTGAATCGGAATTTTGATTCCCAATT